CCATCTCCAATCGCATCGCGGCGCGCCATGCCGCGCCGCTCTCTCTCTGCAAACGACCGAGGTTCGCCGTCGTCACACGCAAGGTGCAATCTGCGCCTCCAGTCGTGAGGCACCGGTCCCGACACCGCTACCGGTCGCCGAGAAGGTTCTCCAACAGACGGTATACCGCAGCGGCTCGCCGTCGTGGTATGCTGCGACGCCTCCTCGCGTGAGAGAGCGAGTAGCGAGCTCAACCAGACCGTGCTCGACACGAGCCGGTGGTGGGGTAGACATGCCCGAGTGGTGCCTGCTGTCGTCTTTGGAGTGCGGGCGTTGCCGTACCGTGGTGGCCGCAAAGAACTCATCGCAGCTTGAGGTCCTAGCCGGAGAGTGTGGTCTTTGCCGAAGTAGCAGCGCCGGGTCGGTGGAGGCTCGGGGATCCGGGTAGACGCTTCGCCAAAGAAGAGCCGCCTACTCCCCAGCTCCCTCGAAGTGGGCGTACTTCGACAAAGAAGTCGTCGTGACGTCGAGAGCGCCGTCCCACCGCCTTGTCCCCACGCCCATCCTCGCCCTTCGTCGAACACAACGTCGCGCTGCCGTGCGCACACACGCCGCCTTCGGTCGAGGATGCGGTTGGCCTCGAGCCCTCCAGCGTAGCCGATGAACACTCCCGAGTGCTCCTGCCGTCGAGCTTGCTGATGTGGCCAAGCTCCTTGGCGAACGCGAGGCGCCCAAAGACCCGCAAGTGGGAGACGCCGCTTGCGCGCCATGCTGCCAAGCCTGTACGGCGTCCCCGCTGCCGAGCGCCTTTGTAGGCGAAGCGGTTGAGGATGTAGACGGCCGTCACCACCGCCTCTCCCCAGAAGACAGCCGGCATCCCCCTCTGCTTGAGGAGGGCCCGAGCCATCCCCACAACCATCTGGTTTGCGCCGCTCGACGACGCCGCTCTGCTTTACGCGGGCTATACGGCGCGGAATAGTAGTGGCGCCAATGCCCTCGTCGTCAAGATGACGCGCAAATTCAATCGCCGTGAATTCGCCGCCGTTGTCGGTCGCGGCAGACGCGTAGCTTGCGGCCGCGACTCGCCTCATGCAACGACTGCTGCGGCCGATGGCGCCCGCAGCCTCTCCCTTGTTGCCGAGGACCATCACCCACATGTAGCGGGAGAGGTCGCCGACGAGCGGCGAGGAAGTAGCGTCGTCCTCCCGGTGTGGCCGGTGTCACCGGGCCACACAAGTCCCCGTGCACAAGCTTGAGCCTCTCCTTGGCTCGAAAGCTCGCACGCTGGGGAAAGGGGAGTCGCCTTTGCTTCGTCAACACGCAGACGTCGCAGAGCTGCTCCACATGGTCGAGGCACGGCAAACCTCGCACCATCTCCGTGGCACTGAGCCGCTTCAGGGCCTCGAAGTGAAGGTGCCCGAAACGCTGCGTGCCGCGCCACGCCTCGTCATCCCGACGAAAGCGGCCGAGACAGAGGGTTGTGCCACCGCACGTTGAGGACGTAGAGTCGATTTGGCGCTCGGTTACCTTGGCAAGAAGGCGCCCCGGCGATCCCAAATCCTCATGACTCCATCCTCAACCACCACGCTGCGAACCGTTCTCATCCACCGTCCCAAAGTCGATGATAGAGTTCCTCAACGCGGGGATGTAGTAGACTCCGGTGAGCAACCTGTGCTCACCAGACACGGCGGTGAAGATGACGGAGCCGACGCCCTTGATCTCCACGCCGGAGGCATCCCCAAACTTAATGGAGCCTCGAACGCTAGAGTCAAGCTCGGTGAAGAACTCCCGTCGACCGGTCATGTGATGGGTGGCGCCGGTGTCGAGGCACCACCCGTCAGTCTTGTCGTTGCCGGAGCTGTCGCCGAGGAGGGCGTGTGCTTTTGGCTCGTCAAGGTGGAGGAGAGCCACTGCGGCCGGTGCCGCTAGAGGTAGCTCGATGCTTGCATGTGCCATGAACAGAGCCGGCTCCTCCGCCTGTGCGACGTGGGCCTGGCCGCGTCGTGGCTGTCGGCAGTCCTTGGCCCAATGGCCAAGCTGGCCGCAGCTTCTGGCGGTGTCGTCTCGTCGTGCGGGCTTGTACTGCCGTGGCGCCGCCTGGCGCGCCCATGGGCATCACCCTTGGCACGTCCTCGCGCCCCGGCCTGGGCGTCTCTCATGCGCCTTGCGTGGCTTGCCATGCTTGCGACCGCCTGTCGCGGAAGAAGGCTCCCCCTTCTTCCGGTCACCTTGACTAGCAAGCCACTGCTCCCGAGTGAGAAGGAGCTTCCGCCTTGATGATGATGGGCCCCGAGAGATCAGGCTCATCATTGTCGACGACCTTGAGGCGACCTATCGCCTCCTCGATCGACATCGTGGAGAGATCCGGCGGGGACTCGATCGAGCGAGCCATCTGCTTGTACTTCTCGGGGACGCAAAGAAAAGAGCTTTTCGACGCTCTCTCCTCGTCATAGGTGTCATCGCCGAATCGCACCATCTTCTCGCAATGCAGTGTTGAGACGGAGAGCAAAGTCATCAACGTCCTCACCGGCTTGAAGGCCGTGTTCTCCCACCCTGCGGGCGTGCTGCGGTGTGGACTTGCGGCGCGCGATCGCCGCCGCGTGCTGCAATGATGGCGTCCCAAGCCTCCTTGGCGTCCGCTTGTTGGTAAGCGAAGCGCATCTCGGGCGGGATCTGCAGCAATGAGGGCTTCCAGCGCCGTCGATCTAGGTCGTAGTCGACGCCGCCGCATCTCGGACCGCCTCCCACATGTGCCGCACCTAGAGCTTTACCCTCATCACCGCAGCCCACTCGGCGTAGTTGGTCTTGGTGAGGGTAGACCACCCACCGCCGGACCGACGTCTCGACAACGACCCTAGAGCCCGTGGCAACCACGGTGCCGATCCGGGGAGAGAGCCACGCCTCACGAAGGCCGTGCTCTCCATCGACCCGTCGGTACCGATCCGGGGAGAGAGAGCCACGCTGCCTGTGAAGGCCGCGCTCTCCATCGACCCGTCCGCCATCGTTGCCGTGCGCGCCTCCTCCAGGAGCGCCGCCGCCGTGCGCGCCTCCACCAGGAGCGCCGCCGGCGCGTCCACGCCATGTCACCGCTACCGCCCGGCCGCTGTGGCGTGCGTCGCGCTGCCCTGTGAGCGCCACCGCCATGCGCGCCTCCTCCGGAGCGCCGCCAAGGTCCGTGCTGTCACGTTCTGGCTGCCGCCACGCCATGGGCGTCGCGGCCGCCCATCATCGCCGCCAGCCAGCTGCGCTGCCCTCCCTCTCTAGCAGCTCGAGGTCCGCGTCGGCGTGTCGTCGCCGCCGAAATGGAGCTGCCGATCTTTGCTGCTGCAGAGCCTCGACCTCCGCTGCCGCCAAGACGCGCCGCATTCGCCGCCCTCCGCTCTGGCTGCTTTGCCACTCCTCCCCTGCCACCTCGACGCTTTTTGCCGCCGCCGCAGCAGCTCTCTGCCGCCGCTTCATCGCGTTCTCTCTGCATGCAGCAAGTTCGGCCTCTGCCGACGCCAGCGTGCTCGAGGCGACCGAAGGCCGAGATCCTCATGGACATGACGCGCTACCGGGGGGCTATTGCGTGGGGAGAGGGCTGCTTCAGACGAGCTGCTACTCGTCTGTGCAGAGGGAGAGGGGTGAGCAGGGGCGGCCGGAGGAGCTGCTGCTTATCAACAATTGGGGTTGTTTTGGGCTAGGAGGGGGAGATGAGCGAGAGATGCTCAAAGCTACTGAGGATAGTACTGCCTCGATACCAGTTGTTAGTCGTTGAACTCTCACTCTCGGTAGTAGCAAAATTCTTACTCTCATCGAGAGAGGATGACACTAGGAGTTGGGGCAATTTTCTGGTTTATTTCTCACACAAACTCACACAAATGCCATGCCAACCTGAGGGGTTGGGGTTAAATATTTATAGGCTGCTAGCCAGCCAAGCATATGCCAAGATGTTAGTCTAAGATGCCAAGATACTAGTCTAAGATGCTAATATGCTGTCATCTAGTATAAGATGTTGTCCTCTAGTCTAAGATGTTGTCCTAAAAACAGAAAAACAGGCACAAGGACCATGTGAGCAGCACAGTCCCACAAAGACCAGCCACACATGAGACTTATCCATCAGGCAAAGAGCTCATTCGTCTGGATGAACCAGTCAATGATATCCCAGATGATCCGTACATCGCCCCTCAAATAACTTATAAAATGATAAACATCAAAGATGTCTTCAAATTTCCTGTTCTCAGAGCACGACACTTTGGCAGGAAGCAAATAGCATATTTAAGTAGGCCATATCATGTAAAAGTGGAGCATAGAATCATTTCTTAATTAAAAAGTTGCTTGGAAGAGATTGTAAATTAAGCCTAGAAACAGCTCTAAGAGCTATATCAAACAGACTCTAATTGACAACTGCCTTTCACACTAAGTCGACCGCACAATTAGAACACTCCTCAAGGTACTTGAAGGAAAGATGGGCAACGACTGTATTCTCACGGTAGCCATAACAATGACTGCAACCTAGAGAAAGCTAGGATAGCCCAAATGTGAATCTATAATTACATTCAGATGGGCAAAATATAGCAGCTACTACAAGAATAAAATTTGAGCACTGGAGGCAGAGGCAAGACAAAAGGAAAAATTAAGATGTCCACCTCACGAGCAGCTGCTGCGTTAGAGCAGGCAATATGGCAGCAATGGAGGTATTCAGAACATTGACAATATCATTATTCAGGTGCATAAAACAATATCCACCATTAGTTTGAAGAGGAAAAAAAATCCATTCAGCATAGAAGCCTAGGTATGGTACAACACGAATAAGAAACAGTGAGGGTCGATATAAATGGTCTTATTGCAACATAAAATTTCATCCAAAAGAAAAGCTCAAGTGATGTCACGGATTGAAGCTGATCATTGTGAGAAGAAGCTTGCAGGTAGACGCCAGGAGATACCAAAAAAATATTGACAAATGGAATTATGCACTATGTATATATGATGCATTAAGCCACATGCTGAGAATGTCTTCACCTGAGAATGCCTTCAGCTCATTATGCTGAAACTGATCTTGCATGGTTGTTGAGGTCCTGCAAGAAGGAAAAAAGGAAAAGTGGCCTGCTATGATTATGGAGTGCACAGATAAGAGAGAGGTCAGAATAACAGTTGAAAGGCAGGAAACTCCAATCTAAAAAATGACCACCAACCTGAGTTGTGTAAAAAAGGCTACAACGATGCAACACTTGTCCTGTCTGAGAATCCAAAAGGACCCTGCAAGAGGGAAGGAGAAAAAAAACAGATTAACAAATCAGGAAACTTGAATTGGAACAAGCATATAGGTCAGACTACTAAGAAAGTAAAATGCATGTATTGGTAGATGCAAAGAACAATTGGCACTTCCTTCTTGCAGTCCCCTTAAAAAAGTGGCTCCTATTGAATCCCAGTCCTTAACCCATGACACAATGTAGTTCAATGCACTTCTTCTGAAACGAAAGAGTGAATCCGAATCCTGAAAGGAACCTATAATGTAGAAGTGAAATATGTCAGTTCGCTTTTAGTTTGCCTGGTGGACCAAGATGGAAGGATCAGGCATCACAATAGCTAAAAAAGCAACGCAAGCTTCTAGTACTGGATGGGCACATAAACAATCGTAATAATGTAAGCCTGGCAGGGGGAGCACTGCATTGAGCCTCAGGAACAGAACACAGTACAAAGGAAAGAACTGAACAAAATTACCAAAAAAAAATGATATAGTATAAGAGTTAGAACCTGCACAAAATAACTTGAGCTTGAAATATGTAAAAGTAAAAAAATATACTAAAGAAAGGCCTTGCTATAATAATCGAGAAAGGAGGCAGCTGCCTGGTTAAGGCAGTTCATTTGTTAGGAAAAGTGGGTTTAGATGCAGAGAACAAACCTAGATCATTTCCAGCTGTGTGATATGTCGCAGCACTGATTTTAGCAAGCAGAAGGCAAAAATAGATAGAAAAATAAAAGAGACTGACATATCTAAGCAAGCTTCATCTCTGCCAGCTATATTTTACAGTTCTAACTAAATTGGAATTAGCTGTCGTGGTCATATAACCTGAGGACACATAGTATATCATTAACCATTACAGTAAAGAAACATCTTACATAGATCACCTAGTCTAATGAAAAGATAATGAAACAAAAGAGGTTTTGCTGGGCATCCAAGAAATTTCATTTGCCCAATGGCAAAGAGGCAGGTTCTGTCGTACCATTATACACCAACCGTCCAGCAAACAATTGAACGCGCCCTTGAGGTACGCGGCAGCCTGCACGATAAGGAAATAAGCAGCATTAGTTTGCAGTGTTTATTATGCTCTACATTTGGCCAGTGAAAAGTATGGATAGGAGATATGATAAAAACACTTTACCTTCTTGAAATGCAGAAGTGGTATGCAAGCTTTGTACACCCAAAAGAGCATGGCATCCACGTTACTGCTAGGTGGGAGGCAAGTCCTTGTGCTGGCATTCCTGTACAACCAGAATCCATGTGCGCGTATAAATGAAGCCAAGAAAGGAAGCAAACTAAACACTTGGCTCTAATCCACTGGCGGATCCAGGATTTCAATTATGGGGGTACGGACCTAATTGGTATAATTCTCTAACAATATATAGTACAATGGCTAGAACGACGATAAAATGGTTAGTGTACGGATCTAAGGATACAATTTGCCGATATTCATTCGGAGTACACAAAAGTAGTCGCGCCAAGGTCTTAATAGTATATAGTTTCTTGCTTCTTTGGTATTCTTAATGAAGAATATTTAAAAATTCAAGACTCAAACTTCATAAATTCGAAACCAATGATTGTTTAGAAGAGAAAAAAAGAGTCAATTTACATATTTACTTTTCCTAACTCATTTTTTTATATTGTACTTGTGTACTGATTTATTGTGGTCTCCTATACTTTAGAAGGAAGCATGCTAATATGGGTTCGTAGGCTATTTTTAATCTCGGATGAGCACTTTCTTAAGAGATTGCTATTTGTTAAGGTGTTCTAAATATATAGTGTGTTATAGGTATGCATACTTAGTATTTGTACAAAAAAAATTGGGGGTACAGCTGTACCCCCATGCACCAACACTACATCCGCTCCTGCTCTAATCCCTTATCCACCTCCGGTAACAAATCCGAAGAAGTCAATCTTTAAATCTAGCAAGCTAAACACTTTAGATGAAGCACAAATAGAGTAGGGGAAGTGCCATAACCATCCATACCTGGTGGCTGGGTTCCTGTGCAGTGCAGTCGCCGCCGCAGCCGCCGTGAAACCCCGGGTGGAGGGGTGGCGTACTGCCAGAGCCAGCCGCTGAGCTGAGCTGCCGCCGGAGAGGAAGACGTCATGCGCAGCCGGGGTCATGGAGCACAGGCACCTAGGGTTTCGTCGAGGAGAGGAGGAGATGCGGAACGGTCGGAGGGGGCCGCGCCGGGAGGCATCGGGGACGGCGGCAAACGGTGGGGCCCGCTCTCGCCGCGCCGTGACCGGGGACGTCCGCCGCCAGGGCCGACACGCAGCGCTGCGGCGCATCCCGGGGGGCGCCGTCGCGCCGCCAGCGCCTTGCGCGGTGTAGCGGCGGCGCTGGGCCCCGGCCGCACGGCACCACATCTAGAGAGATAGGGAGAGGCAGAGGAAGGCAAGGCGGGGCGGAGGCGGCGGTGGCGGCGTTTCTCGGGAGGAGAAGCGTCCAGCTCGGGAGAGGAGAAGGGGACGAGATACTTTGAGAAGGACGAGTAAATAGCTGATGTATTCCGTGTAGTAAAAAATTATTGAAAAATATAAGAGATTAGCACGTGGGTCGAGCAACGTATTAAAAAATTAAAATATATAAAATGGTCTTTCTACATCCACCTCCACGTAAGGGATGACATAGCTACTACCACTGCCGACGCTTTTATGGGCTAGATATGTTTGCCAACCTAGCGGGTTACTCGTGGGCTCATAAGGCGCTTTGCTATTTCAATTTTTATTTTTCCATTTGTAATTAGGCCTGTTATGGCTGCACTCCACATGCTAATCAAGTCCATAAAGCAACTATAAACAGAATTGCTGGTGCTCGGACATTCAATGGGATAGGATTTCATCGGACGGTACCAAACGGGCCAGCAGAAACATGTCACTCTCACCGTATCGCTGCAATCCTTCCATGTCTATCTCGTCCCGCCACGCACGCGTATCCCCACCCCCATCCGTCTCGCCCACGCCTGCAGCTCCTTCCCCATACCGCCTCCTCTCTCTCTGTGTGGGCGGCACAGGGAGATGGGATAAGGACAAGCACATACCGTCCATAGGACCCCAGCCGCGCCGCGCGCCCATCCAGCCCCCCCTAGCCAGCCCTCCAGTGTCCGGGTCGTGCCCCATGACTCTGAACATACATTAAAAACACGAAATACTTGCAACATGAGGCCCTGTTTGATTGAGCTGTGACTTTTAGAAAAGCTGTCGTGAGTTGTGGGCAGTGAAAAAGCAGCTGTGCGAAAAACAGAAGATCGTTTGGTTAGAGAAGCTGTGAAATTGTAGGCTGTGAAAGAAATACATGTAATACCCTTTAAGGCCTAGAAGACTATTTATATGCAGATTGCTCCTAATATCTGTTTACTTATTCTCATGTGAATGGGTATTTTATAAAAGAAAAATTAAATTTTCTAAGTTTTTCATCTATCTTGTCGGCGGGGAGTGCATGGTGATCATGGCCACACATCCAGAGATGGATGGTTCACGCTTATTGACTGTATAGGATAGGTATAAGTGTATTTAAGATGTATTTCATCTTTTATTTTTCTATAGAAAAACGGCCAGATGACCTGGATGTGGGGAGGCCCCCGAAGGTCAGAGTGGGGAGAGGGGCCGCGCCGCCAGGGCCGGTGACGCTTTCCCATCGCCGGAGCCGATGTTACTCGCCGCCGCACGGTGGGTACGGAGACGCGAACACAAGGAAGAAAGGAAAATAACGATTAGATTTCATAACCAGTGGCGGGGGGTAATATTTTGGCCTAATAGCAGCTGAAAGCAGGAAGAGAGCTGCTTTTAGTTTTGTACTAGAGGAAAAGCAGCTTTTGGCCTAAGGCAGCTGTGGCTTTTGAGCTATTTAGTTGGCTTTTGACTTTTACAAAAGCAAAAGCATGTTAAAAGCCCACCCAAACAGGATCTGAAACACTTGAATGCAACATACGTCTAAAGCAGATGAAATATTTGAACATACACTGGCAACATGTATGTGAAACATATGCAACATCCAGATAAAACACTTGCAACATTTACAACATTAAAACACTTATTGCGGCATAAAGCTGAAATAGCTGAAACATTTCGAACATACTTGTAACACCTCTAGTGTTACGAACTTACTTAGCACCTAGGTTAATGCCTAAGAGAAATTAGTAAAACAAGTTTTAGGGTTTAAAAGTTTAAGGCACACATGGAATTATAAACGAATCTTGTGTGACTCGCTTTCGTGAATAAAACAAGGAAATAAGTGTCGCTAGTCAACTTGTTTCGTTGCTTAACAACTTTTAAATAATCTAGTGGACAAAATTTATTTAGAGCTTGTTTTGAAAAAAAAAGTATGAAGAAAGTGCTTAAAAATGCCTAATAGCAAAGAAATAGCGAATGGTTTGTTTATTTGATTAAGCGTGAAAAACATTTTTTATAAACAAAAATAAAATATAACTTATAATTGGCACTTAAATAAAATTTGAAGTTGTGTTGAAAGTACATTTTTTGGCGATTTATAAAATGCAAAATATTTAAATAACGCCCTGATATTTTGGCTCTATTATTTGATACAAAGTGTGTGATATGTCGTGAAATGGTTGTTGGTGAAGTTTGGTAAAGTTTTGACTATTTAAAAATTCAACCAAAAGTGCTTAGGGATGTTAGTTCTAACTGAAACCTTGAATTCTTTTAAATACGAAATGATAGTAGACAATGCCGTTTTGACATTCGAATTCTAACAAAATTGTTTTAACACTAACTTTATGTTCTTGTACTGTTGGTTGTCTCTAAGTGCGTACTTGGGCATGGCTTAGGTGGTAGTGGTGTTGGATGTCATGTTGCTCTCGTACAAATTACCCAAAACTCCTTAGAAGGCTTGCTAGAAGGCACGTCGAAGACCCACTTGCGCGTGGGGAAGGTTCGAGGCTATCCACGGAGTTACCCGACCGAGAGCTTGGCCCTTGTGAGAGATTCCTTGCAAGGGGCTCCAACGAGGACTAGGGGGAAGCTTGTGTGCTTCTCGATACCTCAGTAAAAATACCAGAGTCGTTGACGGGAGTTTGCATATCTCTACCTTGCTCTTTAGCTTCCGCATTTACATTGATTGTATTACTTCTTTTGCGGTAGAGATAGCAACACACTAGCAAAACCGTAGTTACACATTTAGATAGTTTATCTTTTGCATAGGTTTTGCTAGGGTAAGAAAAACAGAGGCATTTGTTTAGAGTTAGAATTTTAAGTTGTCTAATTCAACCCCCCTCTTAGGCGTCATGGTCCCCTTCAATTGGTATCAGAGCCGGTTGGCTCAATTTGGATCTTTGGCTTAACCGTCTTTGAGCCGACGCTATTTAGAGTGGTTGGGATGGATACCTTTAGGCCTCCGCACTTTGACGGCACTAACTTCCCCTATTATAAAGCTAGAATGGCTTGCTACCTTGAGGCGGTTGATTTGAGAGTTTGGAGAGTCACTCGTGACGGGATGAAACCCATTAAGAATCCCGATAAACCCACGAAGAGTGAAGAAAAGGAAAATTCATTTCAATACTAGAGTTAAAAATTACTTGTTTGAATCATTTAGTATGAATGTGTTTAACCAAGTGTTCACTTTAAATACGGCACATGAAATTTGGTTAAAACTTCAAGAGCTCCATGACGGCACATCAAATGTCCGTGAGCAAAAACATTGTCTAGCTAAACAAAATTATGATTCCTTTACAATGAATGATGATGAGCTTATTTGTGATATGTATTCACGTTTGAATCTAATTATCAATGAGCTCTATTCAATAGGACTAACAAAGCTAGATGATGCGGACATCGTGAGGAACATCATCTCCGTGCTACCACAAAAGAAAAATATGCAATCATCATCACCATCCTTCACAACATGGAGGACTTGAGCACTATGACCCCGGGCATAGTCATTGACAAGATAGTGGCATTTGAAATGTCACGTAAGATGGGTCAAGAAGAAGCCTCTTCATCAAGCAAAGCCAAAGCTCTCGCATGTAGCGAAAAAAAAAATAAAGGGCAAGCAAGTTGAGACAAGCTCAAGCTCACGCTCCTCAAGTGAAGATGAAGAAGAAGATAGGGATAATGATGATGATGATGATGAATCAATCAAGATGATGATCAATCTTCCTCCTCCACCTCCAACCTTGATAAAGAATCAATCAAACTTATCAAAAAGATGGAGAAGATGATCCAAAGGCTCAATGTCAAGGATGTGCCCATCCAAATCCAAGATCTCATTTTCACCAATCAAAGAAATGAGTAAATAAAGAGAGGATGCTATGGATACGACGAGTTGGGGCACTTTATGTAAGTTTGTCCAAACAAACCAACACCCAAGACAAAGAAGAAGACATGCAAGAACCAAGCCCTCACATCAATAAAGTCATGGGATGATTCTTCAAGTGAAGAAGAACACCATCACAAGAGACGAGGGCGCAAGCACTCATCATTAAGCTCTTCTCGTATGTGCCTTATGACACGAGGTAACGAAAGCTCATCCTCTAATGAGAGTGATAGTGATGATGAAATGTCTTCTTATGATAAAATTGCGCATCAAAATCTTAATTATGCTAAAGTTCGCACTAGTCAACAAAAGAAACTCGAAAAATTAAAAGTAAAGCTAGATAGTTCACAAGAAGCATACAAAACTTTGCTTGAACAATATAAGAACTTTGCTAATATCAATGTTGAACTATCTACTAAAATTGAACAACTTAAGGCTAGTGCAACAACAAATGCATGCACAATCAATGATGAGCAACTTATAAAGAAAAATGAAAAATTAAAAGAAAAGTTAGCTAGCTCACAAGATACTTATAAAAGTTTGCTTACTAAAATGGAAACCATGTGCAAATATTGTGATGAGCTAACTAATAAAGTTGTTAATCTTAAAGTCGTTAGTACAACCCCCACCAAGACATCTAAAAAGAAAAGTTCTATCTTTAACATGTCTAAAAAAGATGCCGCTACTTCTTATAATGATTCATGTTTAGACTCATCTTTGTGCAACCAAGTTTGTGTTGAGAAAGTTGTTGTAGATACATGCACACAAGAGGTTGCAAAGAAGAATGAGCAACTCAAGCAAGAAGTAGCTCGTCTCACTAAGGACTTGACTCAAGTGAAAGGCAAGGCAA